TGTAGTACATTATACAACAATTACATTAACGTGTGGCATGTAATACAGCTATACTGTTCTTGGTTTTCTTAAGTAGACTATTAAGCTTCTGTTAGTGAGTATTGGTGATTGGCTGTACATTTTTACCAGCATAGTTGTGTTAGTACTTTGTGTAGAAAAATGTTAAGATTATTTTTAACACTACAGTTTAGAAACATGAACTCTGCGATCAGATCGGGAGTGCTTGTTTGGTTATCATGTACAGGTGGTTACGTGCTGCCAAAAATCAGTAATGAATACCTAACGCTGTATTAAGTATTAATTTTCTTTCCAAATTGTTTTGTAGAAACTGTGTATTTTTAGCACTAGGAATGTAACGTTTATTGGCAGTATTCTAGTAGGAGTACACTATGGCCTTTAAACTATGATATTGTTTAACTTTAACTAATCATTCTAGTAAATTGAACTTGTTAATTCTATCTTCGTCCTCGGGTCTAAGGAAACAAACCGGGGTAATTCCTATGCACCCTTGATTGGACTTGTATAACTAATAATAAACAGATCAGCTGCATAACTCCCTTCGACAAATTGATTTCATTAAAAATAATGCCATGGTCAGGAAAATATGATACACGTAATCTGTTTCATTTTTTCAAAAATATTATTCAGAAGGTTTTTCAATTGATTTAACCAACCTGGTTCATTACCCACAGAACGTCTTAGCCTTGTTATTTAGTTCTCAAAAAGGAATGTCTGTCAAATAATGTGATACATAGCATGTTGACGATATAACACTTTCGCAGTGTTCACAAATCCGTTCTTTAGTTCTCATTTTACTTATCTTGTTAATGTTTATACGTCTAACAGGTCTTGATAAGATAAAAATGTTCCAAGCAGATACAGTCTGTATATTAGATTTACATGTACTTATATTAACTATGTAGTCACAGATATGGAAATGCAATATAGCTAAATAAGATCCTGCTATTTTTATTACACTTAGAAGTATACATTTTTTTCTCAAGAATGCGAATACACATAAGTACTAACACATATGAACATTTAGGACATGGTCTGTCTCCATTTGAACAAAATTAGATCAAAAGTATTAAAATAATCGTAAAGTTGGTCCAGTCGCATAAAAAATGCGTTCGTATTTCTTTGCCTTGTTTTTTTTTTCTGTTTTGTTTTGCTGTTTTTGTTTGTTTGTTTGTTAGAGTTTTGTTGTCTATGCCCTTTTTCCCTCTTTTTTCTAGAAGTGTTGTAAATCAAATGAAAATTCCAAAAAGACTTTAAGAAAATTTAAGATCACAAAATTTTTCAAAAAGTTAGTAAAATTAATATGTCTTATGACTTTTCTACATTATATACAACCATTCCTCACGATAGATTAAAAATTAGGCTTTTTGATATCATAGACAACCGCTTCTTCAATAAATATGAAAAGAACTACGCACGCTAACTCTCGATACCTGCCTACATTTTACACCCATTTAATTCAATACTAATGGCAATTTGTCCATAAAATCTTTGTTGAATGCAAAGAACAGTTCAATGGTAATTGACTGATAATTTTAATACCAGTGTTAAATAGTTATTAACCCCTAATTCCAGCTCTTTAAATAAGGGGGGTAGATGATATTTTTCATTGAAATCGGGCTTTAAAGCATCACCACACTTTAAAATATTCTTGGATATGAATAAATGTTCCTTAAATCTTATCTTATGTTTTACTCATTTAAAATAAAACATATATTATTAATAAAATACAATGTTTTAGTTGTAAACCCCTTTGAAAAATCTGTAAACATATGTTCCCACCGTGAAACACAAAAAGCTTTGGTATGAAATTGTGAAATGACAGTCCATATTACCTGTAAAAAGGAATTTTTTTTCACGGGGGGGGGGGGGTTAAAAATATTTTCCGTTTTCCGTTGATTTCAATAGTGAAAAACACAAGTTTTACCAAAATTATAGAGTTATCTCTCTTTGTTTTCCCAAGGAAGTAATGTTTTATGAAAATTCATGTAAATATCTATATAGATATGAAAAATCATTCAAATGTGTTAACTTTTGAAAATTGACTTTGAGGTAGGCGGGAGAACAATACTATCGTTCGCAGTTCTTTCTTTTCTTGTGATTGGTGCTATATTCTCATAAAGCAGAATTTTTCAAAAACTTCAATATAAAAAGAGGAAAACACCTTCTGTGGCCCTTCAACTCGACAATCAGATATATCGACGACGTTTTATCAATTAACAATAGTTATTAACATTCATATTTCAGAGTCTGACACTGTTTCATATTTGGATGTTTTACTGACTATAGACGATAAAGACCAACTAATATCTAAACCGTATGACAAGCGAGACTTCAGCTTTTCCATCGTTAACTGTCCTTATTTATGCAGTAATTGTATATGAGGTTTACGTCTCCAAACTTATTCGATACTGAAGAGCATGCACTGAGCACGATCAACTTTTAAACCGAGACTGGCTACTGACAAAGAAGTTGATGTTACATGGAATTCAAGGACCTTATTCTATGGCCGCTATAATAACCTTGATAGCAAATGCACTAATGTTGGGTCGTATGGCACATATTTATTACTAATTTTTAGGCTTTTCTTTTAATACTGAATGACCACGGAGAATTTGTCTACCTGATCAATACATGGGGCTCATGGCAGACATAAGTGGTCGACAGGGATGCTTACTCTTCCTATGCACCCGATCTCACCTCTGAAATTTCCGGTAGTCTGTTTCTCATGCCCTGTTATAATATTTGTATTGTTTGTCGATCACTGTTCGTTATCTTCACCTTTTTCAATCGATTGTTTGATAATAAACTTTATCGATGGAATAAGGAGATAACGAAGAGTAAGCAAGCTCAAAAATCCATTGAAACAATACAAATTAAGAGTAAAGCAAACACGGACCTCTGAAAACATCAGAAGTGGAATCAGGTGCCATGGAGGAGTAAGCATTCCCTGTCGACCGGTCACATCCGCTGTGTGCTCATTGTCATGATTGAGAAAACCATAAAATCCGTAGGCAATTCTGGGTTTAATAATGGCCTGACAATTAATATGAAAAACAGCATTCGACTTCATGATAGATTGTATTTCCCGACAAGGTTATTGTACCGACCATACAACTTGCAAAATGATGATTCTAAACGAGACTGTTGATATCCTTGTTTCATCAACTTGTTTATCAATAGCTTGTCTCGTTTTAAAAAAATTGTTCGTGCGTTTAACATCTTGTGTATCGAATGAACAGGGAGATATAAACCCAGTATGCAGATGACAAGGGTATATAGCTACATAAGTAAGAGAAGTTGACGAAAGAAAAGTTGAAGTCATCAGGTTTATTATAGAGCACTGCTGTTAGTTACCATTTTTTTCTAGTAAAATAATTTTGAATCCCCTGTGCTCTTGCGGACGAGTGGAGGACACTCATAATTATTTCTTTTTATACAGAAGCCAGACTTTTTCGACAAATTTTTGCGAATGGAAAAATTACATACTTTTGATATTCACACTTTACCTTGGGGATATTAATTGTTTACTGCTGCTGAGAATGAATATTTTTAAAAGATTTGATTGATTAATATCATTCACTGTTCTAAGTTTTAAGAACCATTCTCAATCCCATTTGCAAAAGTTTACAGACATTAAAAATATGTTCAAACCAGGTTCCTTTGACACATGCTGCAAGAAAAGTGTTGATCGTAGAATGTTTTGTGCTATGCTATGCAAGAAGTTGTTTAGCAATTCAAGCTTAACAAGTTCTTAATATATGTTTGTTTGTTCTGTTTTGTTTGTTTAACGTCCCTATGAGAATTTTTCACTCATATCGAGACGCCACCGCTGGCCGGTGGAGGGCTGAAAATTTAGATCTTTACTCGGCACATACGGCATTTGAACAGTGAGAGATCTTTTACGTGAAAGCACCTACTCCGACACGGGACCTCGGTTTATACAGTCTCATCCGAAGGACCGGACTCCACACGTCCTGCATTGGATTCGAACCAGTGACGTAAGATCAACTCCTTACGCCGCGACTCTAGAGCAATTTCTCTATATAACCACTGTGCCATGCAGGCGACTGTTCTAAAGCTAAATATAAAAATTTCAAAAAGGCAACTTATTCCGTCTATTTTATACAGAACAATTTACCAAACACACTGAATTTAAGCGCATTTATGGATATGGCAAAAAATGCCTTCATGGAAACATTGAAGTAAGAAACATTTTGTAAGAGAAGATAAGGATGACAGGAACAACTCTTTTTCATCAATTATATATAAAAAGAATGAATTGTTTAGTTCCGAGTTAAAACTTGAGACACAGATTTTCACACGTGTTGTTAACATTTATCCACTATATTAGTACGACATCATCTGTCAATCAATTAACGAAGGATCCAATTTGAATCTAGGCTGTAACTAGGAGAAGCATTTATATAAGCTTGTTTAGGATATTAGAAGCAGTTCTCCAATCTTCCGACACCATGCAAGAGCAAATGAGAGAAAACGCATCTCACTTCATTCTTTATTCAGCAGAAGTTGGATATAACAATTACAGTGAATATGACATGGTGGATATTGAGGTTGCAGAACAGAAGTGGCTTTTGTTCATTGCTAATGGATACTCTAAATTTCATGGTTACATAAGTTTAGTAATATGCATCTGTGGCATTATTGCGAACATTGTGAATATTTTCGTTTTGAATATGAAAGAGCTGCGTTCTTCAAATAATTTTATCCTTACTCTAATTGCAGTCAGCGACAACATCACCATGTTACTATATATACCACAAGTTCTTCTCTTCCATATTAATTATACAGATTTGCCTCTATCGCAGTATTTTTCTTACAACAGAGTTGCTTACAGTCTCATAGCGTCCAAGATAACCTTAGCTTCTCATAATGCCAGTGTATGGCTTGGAGTGTCCCTAACTTTTTACCGGTTTATCCAGACTAGGAGTAGACATCATATCCCTCGGGCCACGCGCAACATGCAGACAGTTGCAGTAGTGTCCATTGCCCTGCTGATCTCCGTTGCTTCATCGCTACCGAATTTTCTCACAAACAACATCGAGGGATATACTTTACCCAACAATGAGACTATCTACATCATAAATGCTCCTATGCTTGCCAATAGCGGTTCTCGTAACATCGTAGACACTAATGTTTTGTTGTATGCCATCGTAGGTAAACTGCTTCCCTGCATACTGATGACAATGTTTGTTGGGGCGCTGGTGCACTCTTTACTGAAAAGAAGCAGGAAATTTTCATTTGCTTCCAGTAAACGGTCCGTCATGATTGGGAGAACAAACAGGCTTCTTTACGCTATCGTTGCTCTCTTTTTGATCACAGAACTACCACAAGGAACACTGGTTCTGATGTGCGTCTTTATCTCCGGTTTGTATGAAAATGTGTACATTCCGTTAGGAGACTTCTTTGATGTTATTGCTTTACTTAACTGTGTGATTAATTTTGCTTTGTATTGTATCATGAGTAGTAAATTTCGATGTACATTTAATAGACTTTGCTTAAAATATATATACTGCAAAAATCCAAATAGACCTCCAATGGATCATGTCTCAATTCGATAATAAAGGTTTACCTAAAAGAGTTTACTGTTTTATTTTCTTTTTTGTAAGTGCTTCAAATAAAAATACCTCCTAATTAAAGATTTAAAGTGGATAGATTTTCCTTTCCAGTTTCCAGCTTAGATCTTGTATCAACATATCAGCGAAATATATCTGATTATTGCATTTTTATATATAAAAGGTGTGTTTGTCATTTGTACTTCATAATAAAGATATATTATTATAAACACGGTTTGTTTTGTAGGAAGGCACGGATGGTTTGTCTTTATTCGAGTTCATGTTTGTCTGGTATGAGGTGGTTTTTAAAGTGTAATATATGATGTCAAATATACTTGCATTATATATTACTCGCATTCAAATGTAGATGTTTAGCTACTTGAAAAAATCCTATCAATCTTCATATGGAAATCAGAATGATGCTTTTATAATAAATAAAAATAAAACAGTGAAACAACAAAATCAAAATCGATTTATAACACTGACCATGCATTTTACATAAAGATCATTCCCATCTATTTTGAAATGAAAAGTATTCAGAATTAAAATCATTATCATGAACTGAAACGAATCTTGACCCTCTTTTCTGTCCCTTAACTATATATAATAATTTCAGACTTAAGACGCGATATACCTCAAAGACATTGATCCTTTTCATTGACTCGTTTACGAAACCCCGAGTTTGATGTATCATACTTATTAACACTTGGTTAAGACATCGGGCGTTATCCGATTATTGAAAGATGCTATGATAAACAATCCAACCTTCTATAATCAAAACCTCACAAGATAAAACACTGTAATGAATCTTATGTATTCATTTAAGCTTCTTGGTCATTGCCACGATAAAATATTTTCTTTTTCTTGACTTACTTGCATTATAAAAACTAAATTTGATCTGTAAAAGGGCAATTTTCAAAAGAAAAATGATTATTTTACAAGAAGAGAGGGAAAATTGGAAAACAGAATTGTAATTCTGTAAAGTTTTTTTAAAGTTTCATAAGAAAAATGCTTATCTTGCTCGAAGAAAGGAAATTGGGAGTTCACAATTATAATACTGTATATTTGTAGATATGAATAGTATATATGTATCAAGAGATACCTTTAAAAATGTTTCCTATATAAATCTACCTTAAAAAGTTCTAACATTTACTGAGCGGTCATAAATATCGAAGTGAGTGAGATATTGGACCGCTTACGTCACACTGTGGGCAGGATCAGCTAAATCGCATTTGCATTCGTTGGTGTTCGACAGTGACAGAATTGGCCGAGTTTTACCGCAGTGGGGGTAAAAATGTAAACATTAACTGACTGTGTTCGAGGGCAAAATGTGTTTTGTCGACCCCCCGACCCCCCCCCCCCCAAACTCTTTGCCTTTGACCTAACGGCCTGAGGCAAACAGTTTGGTTCTTGGGTCCGACAAAATGCACGTGGCCCTTGAACCTAGTCAATAAATGTATAGAGTTTAATGCCAAATTCGGTTAACATATAGCAAAAAAAGAAAGGAATCATCTGACAAGTGAATATCAAAGGTTTTTTAAAGGGACCTGAACACTGTTGCATTACCGTTTCGTTAACAATTTTAATTTTCTATTTTTATTCAAAAAAAAAATCAATTAATGAATTGAACTAACATGAAAAATCTTCAAATTCAATGACAAGACATTCTTCATAACATCTCTCTAAACACTTGTGTTTGTAAACATTTACAAGAGCTCTGTTATTGTTAATGTTAACTTTTTTAACTGTGTTCAATTTGTTTACTCTGCACAATCACTGAGCTCGGACTGACAATACTGGTGAGTTGGTTTAGCATTCTCACCTTCCTACTCTGAATGTTATATATTATAGTTTCAATATTTTTCATTAATACACAACAAACTTTCCACTTTTCTTAAATATTAAGGTAGGCCCCTACTCGAGTGACGTCATCAATTGTAGTACTTTATTGAAAATACATAATTATCAACAATAGAATTATTGTAAATCTTTTTAAATGATGTTGCATTAGTAGCAGTGCAGTGTGAATTTGATTCCATATAAAAAAGGTCTTGATTTTCAAGTTTACAAAATGTTATAATTGACGTACATTGACGTACATACACATTCACATTGTACACCTTACATCTACTGTTCATACAGTATTTACAATAACTTATTTCATAAAAATACTGATGTAGTTCTTTTTTATCTTAACAAAAAGATTCCTATTGAGTGTCAAAAAAACAAATGAAGTCATTTTAGAAATATGTTTCATTGATAGTTTTCAAGTTGATATTGATTGATTTTTAGGGAGTATACGTGTTCTAGAAGCTGTAGAAAGATAAAAGGCCAGTGAAGTACAACATGTTTTTAGTTCTTTAAACGAAATAGATGTAAATGTAATGTTTTAAAGAGAAAAAGAAGGTGTTAAACCATGAAATTCTGAAAATATGTACATAGGTGTCAAATTTTGTGATAATTTTAAATTTTCGACACTTATTATGAATTTTTAACATGATAGTAGACAATTGATAGAAAGTTATATTACTTTAATTTTATGTTTAGATTAGCCAAATACTTATTTCATTTGAGATACTGTGATGAAAGAAGGTTAGGAGGTATACGTCATTTAGAGTTTCTGGTCAGAAACTTAACCTGTCAAGATGTGTAGTTTTGGAGCTTTTTAATAACATAAGATTAAAGTTCACTGGAAAGGGTAAGGCACACTACTGGGCTAAAGCGCTACACAGACAATATGGATTTTAAAACGACAATGAAGCACCGCATTTACATAATGGGATGGGGGGGGGGGGGTCATTTTTTATGGTCTCTGGGTCTTATCTCCATTTCTTTTAAAATGTTTTCTCGTTTCTTTGAATTAAAATGAACAAAAATATCATTTTAAAATCATGGAGAAATGACCCAGAGAAACTTTTAGAAAAACCTATTTAAAAATTATAACATTTTGTACCAAATGACTCATCTAGCCAATTATCAAGTTATTTTTAGCTAAATCAAAACACAATATCGGGAAAATATTTACCTTTCCTATTTCACAGGAACCCGATACATCAAAAGAATGCTTAAATTTCATGTGACATATCAGTGATATTTCATTTTTCAAGTGCGCCCAGATTCCTGCCGAATGCCAATCAAATGTGCCCTGGTTTTTTCAACATAAACTGTATTGCATTGTTTAACATTTATGAATTAATCTGTTGTAATAAAACCGTTTAATTTGCTCACTCTGGTTGTCGGATATCGTATGATTAATAAATATTCTAGTGCTATGTATTTTAATAGAATGATATTCATATTATACCAATCTATTATCATATAGATACGGTTGCAATATATTAATACATGATAGTTTTATCAAACCCTAAATTATGGCAACTTTCTAGCTCCAGGAATCATGACTTGAACAAACACAATTCTTTATTATAATTACTGAAATGTATAAGTATTGTACATTAATTTGAATATCTTTGGTCTGTTATTCTCGAGAAAAAGAAATCTAAATATTTTTCTCATATATTTTAATAGTGAATCGTGCATCTTTTTTTAACTAACCCTAGCTTCACGACGCACCATTTGTACAAAAACGAAATGATGTACTTGCCCCTAATACTAGCATGGCATTTTGAAAAGTAGACTAGTATGCCAAACTATGTCAAAAGCTTTCCTGGGTTCAATGAACAAAACATAAATTAGTATCACGCTCCCCCTTTATCCGAGTCTAATCCGAACTCTGACTACATTGTTAATTGTTACACTGTATGTATAGTAATGAATTAGGTAAATTAAGTTATTACCTGTCGAGACATCGGAAATAAGGCCTAATTGATTGCTGTAGTATAAATATGACTCTATACACATCTTTTCTTGAGGAGATTAGTTATTCTTGGAAATGTCATTATGGCCTTATTGTGCAGTGCATTGAAGTGATGGTTACATGTAGCTTGTTTCCATTCTCTTCTTTAGTTGTTTTTCAAAAGAGTCGCTGATAAGTCATCTACAGTATGCATGAATGGTTCGCAATGATTGTTTAAGCACAGATTATTTGACAGAATTGTTTCTATAAACTATGTTCTTAGTTTCTAAAGGAGGAATGACGTACAAGTTTGAGAGTTAGAAGTCTTACCATTTCCCTATTTTGTGATTCATTCAGGTCATTAAGGTTAGCTTTATCACATGTTCGCTTTTATAAACTACTTCAATCGATTCTCATTGTAAATGACGTAAATATACTCTGAAACGCTAAAGGAACGCAACAAACAGTAATCTACAAATATTTAAATTATTTTATCCAAAGATTTTCAAAAATGAATACAGTGAGCTAAAACTCGATTTAAAAACATCAGAGATTTGATAAAAATGGTAAATGATTATCTTTTAACTTTAGAAAGTAACACATGACTGTTAAAACACCCCACACCCCGGCCATTTAATTACGGAGTGCAAGACTACCATGCACACCAATTGCAGTTTGATTTCTACGATACAATAGGTTCATCAATTTCGAGATTTGAGCGAAAGAAATATTCTTCGCAATTTTTAAATGCCTGTTTTTCAGATAATGAGGTCGAATTTTCTCTAGCCTAGCGCAGTATAGTAACC